TGACATATAGGATCTCACCGGCTACCACCTCTAGCGACTCAGGCAATGCTACGGAAGGGAAAAACTAGGGCAAACTGGAGAACTGTGCAAAAAGCTTCCACTGCTTGCAAGAGCAGAAAGGGCAGAAGAAACATAAGCGCTAATCTGAATTTGGGGGTTGGAGTGCCCGATGGAGGGAGGGCACCGAAGTGACCCTGCGCTGCCCTCGACGTCTCAGGGCACGAGGAGCTGAGGACAAGAGGGGCTGAGGACACAACGGTAACTTACAGTCTTATGTGTCCCTGTAATTTTTGTTCCCAGCAGAACTACCATCTCAATTTTTACCCTATGTTTATGAGACATCTACGAACAGTACGATATTAATTGTATGTATGTTTTCCCAGGAGAAACCCATCTGTTTAACTTCCTCAGGAAATTCTCTCTTACTTCCTTTGAAAACAAACCCAGTCACCCTTTTCCATATGCCTCCAACAAGAATAAAAAAAACCTCCAGCCAATTGAAGGTAAAGGAAATATGCTAAAAACTGCTTCAGCAAAACATGAATAATATCCTTTGAACCTTTACTGCAGAGGCACTTTCAGGTAAAGGTTCTTCTGCAGCAAAATTACAGATAGATTTTTTTTTTTGTGCCTTGGCGTGAGCACAAATGTTCTGAATTTCACAAATTAAATTTCATTTCCAGATTTAGGAGAAAGAGGAGACTTTTGGTTTTTCCTTAATAGGGGTACTTTCTGCACATTTAAAAAAGACTGAAAACACTACAGTAAAATGCATCTCCTTCTCCTTCCCTGTTCCCTTTCCAGTGATCAACAGAAATATATGAACACCAGTAACCTTAGGAAAAAAAGGCAATTTATATGCTTAAAATTAAGCAGTTATGAAGTATTTATATGCTGAATTACAATTTTCAGCCTTCTTTTCCCCAAGTTACCACATTCTACTGCTGCAGACATAATTTAATTTTTAAAATCTTGTTGTTTTCTAAATTGTAATTAAACATTCCTAGTGCTACTGAGCCAGCCCCTACAGATGGGTTTATTCCAGTAGGCACTGAGAGAGTCCCTTGTAGTTTAACTTTATACAGCAAGTAATTCTTAGAAGAACAATAACTAAAGTAGAAATACAAATCCTTTTGCTTTTGATCATAGCCTCTGGATTATGTTTCAATAACCCTGTAATTCCTAAGGAGTTAGCCACTTGGTCTTGCATATGTATACAATGTTTTAGCATAAAACTAACCAGATTTTCAACATACTCCCCCCCCCCTCCATTTACAGAATCTGCTTCTTCCACCTCCTAACAGAGGGAAATATGTAAGAACCACGTGTCTGATCAATACAGCAGCAATGCTGCACCTCCCTGTCTCTCTCTCCACCTACAGCTGGCAGTGATGCATTCAGCTTATAACCAATGAATCAGCCACTTTAAACCCCCAAAATACTCCAGACCCCTTAGTATAAGCTTTTTTTTTTTTGTCCACCACAAGTCAATCAGTGACTCTCATGAAGTTCAATATGCAAACTGAAAAATTCTCATCTATTCTCATATCTAGTGTCAAGAACATTTTTTAAAAGGAATTGTCCAAAGGACAAACACATGAATGTACACGCAGAGAGATGGTGAATGCATTTCAGTTAAAGCCTGTAACGTACATCAGAAAAAATGTGCTATTATAACGGAAAGCCGTAGCTATGGAAAAAAATGGGTTAGAGTTTGCAGGCTAGGAACTGAAGACCAACACTGTTTTGTGTTCTAGGGAAATACTGCTACAAAGATAAAGATTAGCAAGCTCTGCTGATAGACTCTGCCCGCCCCTCCTCACCGCGGCGCAGGGGAAGGGACAGGCAATCTGTCCCTGACAGCTCCTCTACGTGACAGACGGGTACAGCTAGACTGGAACTATTGTTTACATTGTTCTGTGTGCAACGGGACCAGTGTAGCCAGGTTTCCTATAGATACATCTTCCTGTTCCCCTTCCCTATGGCAATTGTCCCAGCTCCTAACCTGTATCCCTTATGACATCCTTCTAAAAAAAAAAATATCCTTCTCTGCTGTAGCTCTTTTCCTCCCCTTTCCTTCTCTCTGTCTCTTCCTCTTCCTCCTTCCACACATCCTCTGAGATGGACAAGAGTCAGCTTTTGTTTCTGCTGCTGCTAAGTGCACGTGTGCTGGTTGCTCTGTCTGGGTTGCCAGCTGGCCAGATACACAGTGAGCTCACACCGCAGCTCTTCTTTACAGGGAGCGTTATTCTGAATCCTTCGCCTCTAACTGGCTTCTAATTGTCAGGAAAATGGTAGTTATTTAACAATTTTGACACCTCTTTCCATCTGTTACGTTTGCTTGAAACTAGGCAGAAGTTACTGGGAGAGATATCTGAAGGATGGTCCAACTGAAATATGTCACAGTCAAATACACCTTTAGGAAACCTGGCTAAAAAAATTGATACAATAAAGATGCATCAAATTTTTCATAGGTGTCTATCGTACCCAGAACAGTCAGAGTATATGTGATTAATATTTATAGCAAGTGACTATTGTTCAGAAGTTCCACTGTGGGGGATACACACATGTTTTTCAAGTAGTTATAAATCCTTTAGATGGAACAGCTTTTAAATTCATATCAGAATAGAGCCCACCGGATGGCAAATATCCCTCAGTTGAAATATTTAAAGACATACTTTTGATAAGTTTAGTTTTTGCAGACAAAAGATAAAGAATCACTAAAAATGTAACATTATATTAGAAAATAATATGTGCTGACTGAAATAGTTTCTCTCTTGCCCTTCCTGTGACTGGGCAAATGAGGAGGGAACAAGGAAACAGCTGGTCAAACACAGATGAATCAGAGTGAAAGAGCACACAAACAGAGATTAAAGGTGCTGGATTTGCTACAGAACACCAGGACTGAAATCTCCTTCTTTTAAATAAGACACAATTAGGAAAGGAAGAAGGTCTCCTGCATGAAACACCTGTAAATCTTGGTCCCTTCCAAGGCACAGTAACGTAACAGACATACCGTCTTCACTGGTATGGGGCTCTGTACTAGCATCCTGGTCCACCTCCTCTAATGTACCGTGTTCGCTGTATGGGCTGTCACTGAAGGGAAACAAAAGGTTGAGCAGAGAGAGAAACCACACACATCAAACATATGCCACCCCCATAAGATTATTTAAAATTATAATGTTATAAAGTTATGAGCAACATCATTCTCATGGTGTGCTATGAACACAATTAAAGAAGAAGCCTACACACCTCTCCTTCAAACAACATCTTTAGCTATTAAGAAGTTGCCAGAACCTTTGAATCCTTTAATTTATAAGAAGTGTGTATGTGTTATTAAGACAGTTCAGGAGCATGGGGAAGGCATCATAAGCTGAAATTTGTTAAGGTGGTTCACAGCCAGAGAGCCAGTTTCCCTACCTGGCTGTGTGCTCTGCACAGTACACCTGGAATTCCAGATGCGTCTGGCTGGACACAAGGGTAGCTTCCTCCACAAAATGCTGCAGGAAATCTCATTATAATTGCCTTTGCTCCATGATTTTTTATAGCTAACGCTTTACTACATGAACCTAAATGCTCTTCCTATTTATCTTCATACTTTTGTTGTGCGCAAAAGCAATTCTGTATCACAGGAGTTATCCAGACAACCAGCCTAACGATTTTGTTAAGGAGATAGAACGGTAATATTCTGACTTACCAGTAGTCATCTCCCGCCATGCATTTTTCATACACTGGGCCATCAAGCTCTTTAGCGTCTGGGAAAATAGCCTCATGATGGATGATGATAGTTTTGATTATCTCATTCACGTGTGCCTGACAAGACACCTGGTCTTGTATGTCTGGAACAGGCATCAGGGTTGGCCCAAAACAAATGGCCAGGTTGTACGGATCCATCATGTTTTCATCACTGTACTGCGAAAGGCTGTTATAACAGAAAAATCAAGAAAAATTGACTTTTCCACTGTGAGTAACCTCATTCTGAAAACTGGAAAAACTTCATTTTCCATCACAACTTAGAGATTTCCTGTCCTCCTCGACAATTAATCCCACATAAAGTAACAAAACAAAAAAGGGGATTTCTTCAACAGGCTATATACATTATAAAGTGAGTTTATAGCACATGTATGTATGTATATGTATGTGTTCCCACACTATTGTGTTTAGTGTACGCTGACCTAATGGCCTAATGTAAAATGCATCAACTGCTGCTGCTTCCATCTCATCAGTGCTTATCCTTGGAGGCCCCAGTGGACTGGATCCAAAGTGGGTATACATGCCTGTCTTTTCTCATCAGACCTCGATGCATCTCTCCCATCACCTGGCTCTATATCTTAGGCAGACTGAATTGTCTTCTAGAGGCAACTAAGTTCCTAGATCTGGCAAAAGCTCTTGTGACTTCTGGTTTCTGTTTTTACCATACAACCTAAACTCCCTGAGCACCTGGCCTTCTGCCCACAAACTCCCACAAGAGTTTAATTTTGGAAGCGTCCAAACAAAAAGCTTTGATTGTTCTTATTAATCAACTTTTGCAAGCTCTCCTTTCTTCCAGAAAATGCAATATTGTTAGTTTTCAATTTTGATTTTGAATGAAGAGTTGCTATTTATCCCGTTGTTTAAAAGCGTTGACATTACTAGTGGAAATGCTGTCTTTTGAGTGGTTCTGTGTAGGGCCAGTCAAACAGAACCTGAAGCGCTGGGATGCCCTTTACCTCCCTGTTATTCTGCACTCTGAAGCAGCAAATGAATTATTACGTCTGGTTGTGTTTAAATACAGCATCATATTCTCTTTAGAAAGGGAACTTTCTAGAGAGTTTTTCGTGTACAAACAGTACAAAACTGAAGAGGCAAACCTCAATGACTCCCCTCATAACTAACTTGTAAAATTAATCATGCTCTCCTCTTTCTTATGCCATGATTTATTATCATGTCCTGTGTGTTAATTGGAGACATCTTGTTCTATTGATTTATAAAGTTGTTCAGCCTCTGTATGTGTGCAAGAATGTGTAAAAAAAAGACTCTAACTATCATCGTGAAACGTGAAGTTCTGCTGGCGGCTGGCAACACGCAGTGCTCCTCAGGGCTCAATAGTGGGGCTGGTACTGTTCAACATCTTCATGAATGGCCTGGACAACGGGATGGAGCGCACACTCAGCCAACTTACAGATGATGCCACGCTGTGGGGGGACAGTAGGTATGCTAAAGGTCAGGGTTACTATTTAGAAGGACCTTGACAAGACACTGAAATGGATGAGCAGGAATTTCATCAAGTTCAACAAGGATGAACGCACTGGGAAAAGCACTTCTTGGACAAGTAGTTGGATGTGATTCGGCAATGCGTCCTCCTGCAAAGAAGGCTAGTTGCATATGTGGCTATATTAGGAAGAGCAAAGCCAGCAGGTCGAGGGAATTGATCATTCCTCTTCCACTTGGTGCTCATGAAGCTGCACATGACGTACTGTGTCTAGTTTTGAGAGACTGACAAACTGGTGCAAGTCCAGAAAAGTACTTACTGAGATGGCTGGGGAACTGGAGCACACGGGTTATAAAGTGAAGGGGAGAGAACTGGGTTTGTTCAGCCTTAAGAAGAGAAGGCTACTGGAGAATCTAGCTGCAATCTTCTACTATCAAAATTATAAACAAAAGAGTCAGATACAGGTGGATAGCAAAGGGATGAGAGGCAACAGACACAACTCACAGCAAGGGGTATTCCAACTGGAAGCAGGGAGAAAATTCTTCACCATAAGGGTGACCAAACACGGGGACTGACTGCCCAAGAGGCTGTGGGTTCTCTGCCCTTTGAGGTTCTTGACTGGACAAAGCTTTGAGCAACTTGATCTAACTTTAGAAGCTTTGAGCAGGAGGCTAGACCAGACAACGTCTGCCATGAGGTCTGATTACTTCATGTGGCCAAGCAGGCATAATTGCATATGCAAAAAGCAGAATTGGATTTGCAGAAAGTCAAACTATGGGGATGTTTTTCCTGTGGATGCACTACGAGCAATTTGGAGGCTGTAAGGGACTTAGCCTGCTTTCTGAATTGCATTCCTGTGGAGAGCACAGATGTAGCTAACATGGCCATGTAACAAGTACAACCTCATATAGCTCTGGTCAATCTGTATGTCGTAAGTAGAGGAGAAGCTGTGATATAAGGCTTTGAGACATTTACACAGTGTCAATTTTGGGGGATAAATTCATATTGGAAATTAATAGTTATTTTTATAAAACTTTAGGTCTCTGCCCCCTTTGAAATATTGCTTGAAAGTGGTTCAGAAATTACTAGAAGAAAGGAAATGGGAACAGCTGTGAATACAGGCATGCATGCATAACCTGGCTGCAAAGACCCTGTTTCTATAGGAACAGACAGGATGGGTGAAATGGGGAAGGTCACAAAGACAGAATGAATCAGCAGAGGGCAAATTTAGGAAAAAAAGAGGAAAAAGGCAATATGAAAACAGATATAACAGGAAACGGACAACAGGGCAGCAGAAAGAGAAAAGCTAGAATCAGGGCAAAGTGCACAAGAAGCAAAATTTTCAGCGAAAATCCTGGGGTCAGCAAAACCAGAGAGGGCTGTGAAGGATCAGAGGGAGAAACACAATGCCATTGCCCAATCTGTCTTTTATTTTCTCTTTGAGAATGAAGAAGATTTTCTGGGATGATGAAGACACGAACACCACTTTCCCTTTCTCAGACAACCCTCCTTCCAGCAGCTGCCTGTGTTTTGCAATGTGAGAATCAAGCTACTTTATATCAAAGCATACACAGGGGATATATGTTTTCTATACTGGTAGCCCTATTACCACAAAATAGAAGCAGCAACACGAAGTCTCACCCTGGCAGTGCCTAGCATGAAATAGGTAGCTTGTAGTGCCTGTGCTATTTGAATATACTGTTTATTTTTCCCATCAGGGGATTAAAATCATCTTGAGATAAGGAAAAAAAATTCTACTTTTAAATTACATAAACTATTTTTAATGTAGTTACAGTTTGTATTTGTTATTTTTCTTATCAGCTTATTTTGTTATCAGCTTTAATGCTGTAGCCTGCACTCCCCATTTCAGACAACACTTTAATCTGTCTTGTTACAAACTTGCTCAGTTTTGGACAAATAGAATTTTAATTTGAATGAAAATTGGTGTTTTCCTTCTATTTTCATTGCCAATTAGAAGACCATCTTTTGTGTTAAATGGAGCTTAAATGAAAATTCTACATAGAGTATGAGTAAACCCAAAGCAGCTCAATACCATCAGAGGAAGGCAGATGAAGATTCAGTACCTCGGGGAATCAGAAAGCACTTACTGGTTGAGGAAGGCGAAGAGGTATCTCATCACTATAAGGACCGACCTGGGCAAAGTAAGGAGGAGTTTGCGGATGTGAAGAGCCCTCTCATAGAGATTGTCTATTCCTGCAAACAGAAGAAAGTATTTTAAGTTCCCTTTCATGTGATGCTCTAAAATAGCATTCAGTCAGTTTACTCAATTTACTTTGACTCTTTACCATCACACGTCCCTAGCCAATACCTTCTCATTTTGGCCTATTAGAAAAAATAAGATCTAAAAGTCCTTCGCCCTCTCATTAAAACCACGCAATTAAAAAAGTTAACATCTTTAAATATAAGAAGTCACAAATCTGCCTAAGTCAAACCCTGGCCACTTTCTAAGACAGACAGCTCACAAAACCACAATATCAGTACATAAATAACCTGAGGGAATCAAGGAGAGGTGTTTGCCACCAGTTTCAAATACAGATTAATTCTCTTTAATTGAATGTTCATATCAGATATAATATTCCAATCATTGAGCTTCTCTAATGAGTTTTCTCAATCAAATGTCCAGTTATAACTCTCTTAATGGCAAAGTAGGTCTTATGTTTTATGGTGTGTAAGCAACAAACACAAAGATCACATGTATTTTCCCAAATGATTTTATACCAGTCAGCCAAAATTCTTCTGAAGTAGGCAAAACAAGGTCAGCTTAATAAAAGCATCAGTACCTAATGTCTTATAACAAGGATGCATTATCTCCTATGTTGGTCAGAAAGATTACGTGGCTACAAGTCGGGTAGTGATGGGATAAAAGCATAAATTGTTTTTCAAAACAAGTTATATCTCAAGTTTTTACTGAATGTGTTTTCTGTGTAAATGACACTGTTAGAAACAACCTAAAATTTCAGTAATGCTTTTTATGTCAGCCAAGAAAGAATGCTGCAGTTAACAACATCTAGGGGAAACCTTAGCAGACTACATGAGAAATACTGTCTAGTGGCACTGAAATGGATATTCAAAAATTTGGAAATGAATAACAGGAGCTGATTCCAATAGCTGAAAAGCCATTTGTACCACAAAACATGATATTTAAGAGTACACATTCAAAATAATTACTTACATAAAACCATGCTAACTGTAAATAGAGTTTCTGTTGTTTATTTGTGCTCTTTGGTATGGCTATTTCTATCCATTGGGATTTATTTGTAGATGCAGAATGTGTGTTGACTTACGTTTCTTAGAAGAACAACTACTGCCTAGTAACTAGTATTTCGGTACCACAAACTAAGCATAAGCAGAGCACGTCGGCAGCGAGACTTCTGTTTACCATGCAGAAGTGCTATAGTTCATTAGGAAATGCCAGTGTAGCAAACTGGAAGGGGAAAACCTGTTCCCACATCTGCATTTACAGGAGATTCCACTGGCTCAGCCCCACGAGTGTGCTGGGGAACAGAAGATTCTGGGATGGGGTGAAACTCAGCTCCTTGAGAGCTTCTGCAGAAGGAGAACAGCCCACCACCGCTTGCATGAAGGAAGTCCATTTGGATTGTGGTACCTTACTGTGGGAGCAGCAAAGCGAAATTCCTGCAGGAGGTGAAAACCTATTCCCCAGCAGAGTGGCTGAAGGCTGGAACAGTGTCCCCAGTCAGCTGCCAGAGCTGGCAGGGAAAAGGGCTGCTGACAAGTTGTATAATTTATAACCTAATGAGTCACACTGAACCCAAACTCTAGCTGAAAATCAGCTCACGCCATTACACTTTCTCAAGCGGAGTATGGGACTTGAAATTTAAGTTTCTGTTAAACGTGGACTGCACGAATCAAGAAGTAGTATTTCTGGTTACGGGTTAAGAACCAGAGTCCGTGGCAGGGATGCGCTAAGCCCGGGAGCTTCTTGCACAGTGAGGATCTGCAGAGCAACCACAGCTCTCCTTTCCTTTTCCAGCACAAACCACATCTTGGAGCTGCCAGCGCTCCGTACCCTCACTTCTGCACCGCAGTGCCACACTACTGCTCTGCACAGCCCACAGACACCAGCTTTAGTGCAAGGCCTTTCTCCACCTGCCTAAACTAAGCCTGCCCGTATTTTCAGTTCCCGTTTTTCCAACAAAAGCAGCGGCTGTTACAGGTAGGTCACCCTGTGAGTCTCCAGCTCGGTCAACCTTCCCCCCCGACAAGCCCACCTGTGAGCCTCTGTACACGGAGTTGCAGGTCTAGGTGGTTTGAGTGTGTGGATGAACAGGTGGATTTTCTATGGAGTGGGGCTGAGGGAGGAAGGTCCAAAGGTGCGGGAGGAAGGTCCAAAGGTGCTTTGCTTACCTCTTTCAACACTCCCGCCTCAGCAGCACGGCTGTGCGGTGCTGTGGTACAGCTCCTCTCCAGCCTTCCCACCCTGTGTGCTGGATGCGGGATGCTGGAGAGCAGTTGTGACACAGCACCAGGACCTGACTTCGGCATTACGGCCTTTCCTGGCTAACGCCCTGTGCTGCAGACCTGCCTCTTCCTGCCAGTTCTGGAGACCGGCCCTGGACCACGTTCAGTCACGGCTGAACTCAAATCAGACCTGAGAAACGCAATGGCCGGGCTCCCAGGTGGGTCCGACAGCTCCTTCTACCAGTGTGCTGCCTATCCCGCTGCAATAGCTCTGTCTAAACCAGTGAGCTAAACCAGGATGGGGCAGAGTCTTGAACAGCGGCAGGCAGCTACCACACAGTAGTTATCACACTCTCCTATGTGGTCTGTGCCGCCTGCAACTCTTCCAAGCAGTTCCTAGACATGGTTCACAGGATGCATCAGCCAGGAACTGGTCCCAGCAGGCAGCACGGACACGGCAGAGTAGGTACAGAGAGTGTGGCTGTATGGCCACGTGTTGAGCTATCCCAGCCGCCCTGCTAGGCGCACGCTCAGTACTAAGTACTAGCAGGTCACCTCCGTACTGAAGCAGTGACAAGCTACACATGCTGGAATGAGGTGTGCCTATTTCCAGTACCTTCCTGGTAACCCAGCCCCAGTTTCCATGAAAGCCCCTTTATTGAAAATCTGAACTACTGCCAAGTGGTAAATTCGTGTGCTTTCCACATTATTTCAAAAGGCTTGTTTTTCTTTCTCAGCATTGATTTGGTTTAAAGGAGATCGGTAATAATGTTCTGTATTTGCGTGCTGCTTTTAAATGAGGAGCCAAATTTCCTAGCTGCTTGCACATATGCAGTGCATGAGTGTTCAGGTACGTAGGAATAAAGGAATGAAGACAGAGCGATCTTTCTGCATCCAGGCAGAAAGAATTTGCAGCTCTGCTGCTTCCCATGCAGAGGGAAGAGAAAGCATCGCTTTGCCTCCACCGGCTTTGCTGAAGAGAAGCCTCGGGCAGAACGGCCATCCAAGCTACAAGGTGGTTGCTGGGAGGAATCATTGGCAATCCCAACACTGCAGAAAGCTGGCTGTGTCTCCCCTTTCACAGCACTTCTGTTGGAGGCCCTCTTTGCATTACTCTCATTTTCAAGACCTGTAATTAGCCCTACCTCAGTGCCCAGTGAGGTACTACCCATTTCTCAGCTAAGAAAACTGAAGTGCTGATATTACATGATTTGTCTTAATACTGCAATTAGCTGCCAAGCAGAAATAGAAATCGGGGGATCTGAAAAGTGGTTCATTACTCTAATGATACCACAAGACTCACATTCCCAAACACAAGCAACAGGACGAGCCTCTGGCAAGGCCAAGCACATTGAGAACTGACACTTTTTTTCCAACTGTGGAGTGAAGGAGGGAAGGGAGATCTGTGTGAAGGACACACGAATATCAACCACAAATCAAGGCTACTGTCAGGTAAATCTCACAAATAGAAATGGTAACTATTTTCTAGTTCCCGGTTCTCACACTAGAGCAAAACTTTTGGAGCTCCGGTCTGACACAACTGCCTTCCAGACCTTGTGGAACAAGCCCACAAGCAGGAAATCTTCCTGCCAGCCAGACCAGAAGGTGTTCGGCGTGGGAACGCTGCGCTCCTCTCAAAGTGGAGCTGCAGTGGTGCACGGGAGACATTTGTGGGGTGAAACAACAGAAGGGGGAGAGGCCAGCTTCTGGGGCTTCATGACTACAGCACACTGGAAGAGCAGGGCACCTGTGCCCAGAACTATTCATGTATTGTTATTAGACAATAACGGAGCAAAGCACCCTAAATAATATAAGGAGCTTTGTATCCATAAAATTATTCAGGCATCTAAGCATCAGAGGTGTTTGGGATCTAAGGAGCTTCCACCGGCTACTACAAAAAATGAAAAATAGAGAGCTCAGAGGATTCTTCAGAGGTCACTTAAGTCTACAATCTCATCCTTTGACTTCACCTTAATCACCTCTGAGACGTCTCTCCAACCTGCTCATAAAATCCTCCAAAGAGGCAGATCGCAACCTCCACAAGAGAATCTGTTGAGGTGCAATCTTGCATTGCTCTTGGAAAAGATTTATTTATTGATCTCCCATGGACTTCCTCTCCAAACACTCCAAGACTAATGTCATTGCATAAACGAAAGAATTACTTATCGGCTAGCTGCCTCTTTGTCAGCCACAGGCTAAGGACCAGTTCTTAAGAGTATGAGATAAGCATAAATCCTAGCTACTCAAGCCTTAAAAGGTGTGATCTTCAGTCTCCAAGAACACCGGAGCCTGTTCTGGAGAGGTGGTGCCACCTTCACCTACTGCAGAGACACACAGAATCAATGAATGTCCACTTTTCTCTTCCATGAGAAATAGCTCCTTTTAACCACCTGGTCACTCATGATGAGGTTTTTGCAAAGGCAGACTCTAAAGTGAAACAGAACAAAAGTGAACTATCTCCCTCAGAAGAGTAAAGGAAACCTCAGAGGGGAGAAAACACAATTACTAACAGCAGCAGCCAAATACAAACAAAACAAAACAAAATTGTAAATGAAGATAGGGATACATTCATCCTAAATAACATTACAAAAATGTAAACTGAAGTTTAATTAAGCAATAATCCTGAAGTAATGGAGCATGTAAAAGACAATACATATTCAAATATATAAATGCAGTGCTTTGGTGATGGGGAACAAAAGACTTTTGCAAGAGAGCAATTGCTGGTTCTGAAGTATTTTGGGCCAAGTGGACAGCTGATAACATGCCTGTAT